CTGACTGAATAAATAATGCCAGAACACTCTAATATGAAGTGCTCTGGTCCAGAGAGGGGCCTCAGATGTGAAGGGAGGCAGAAGGCATAAGACAGTCAAGATCATCACTGACCAGCTGTGTGACCCCAGCAAGTCACCCACCCTGTGTAAGCCACAGGCCCCGTGGGATGGCTGGAGATAGAGACAGCGCATCTCCGGGTGCCACACATGTTCAGGGTCCCACCTCCTGCTGCCTTTCCTCCCCATGCCCCTGACCTTACTCCTGTTCCCCTGCAGGATTGCCAGCCCACTTTCCTGGGCAACCTCACATGGCCACTCTAGCAGGAAGCTAGGGACATGGGAGGGGACAGCATGGCCACCTGGAGGCATGAGTGAACACCTCTGCAGAGGTGGCTGTTGCTGAGGCCCTGATGCTTACTGTGCTATGGAAAGGGACCCAGCCTTGCCAAATCTTCAAAGCAGCCAGAAATCTGAATTTTTATATAAAATTTCCCAAGTTTTAAATAGCATTAATTAAAATTTTTCTGAGTCACTTAAAGGCCAAACAAAATATATGTTCAGGCAGGCTCTGCCCCCGCCTTGTCTGCAAACCCCGTCTGAGACATCTACCCAGTCTCTGGGTGCCACGTCCCCAAACACATTTGCCGCATTTGTAACCTCAGCCATGTCCTCAGAGGCCTTGGCTGGCCCCACACCCCCTCCAGAAGTGACCCCAATCTCTTTACCAGATGGGCTCTATAAGCCAGCAGTGACTTGGGGCTGAGCTGGGCCTTTCTGTTGCTTTGGTACAAATCAGCAGAAAGGTTCTGGAATTGAGGAGCTGGCTCCAGCGTGGCTCCTATCTTTCCGAATGCCCATCCTGGCAGCAGAAGATGCAGGTCCTCTTCCACACAAGACAAAGTAACCCATCCCCATACACAGGAGCATGCCTGGCACAGCTGGCGCTGCCCAAGGGGTGGGCTTCTTCCTCCCCCATTGGCTGTCTCCTGAGGATGGGTAAGAGGGGACCAAAGACAGGAGACAAGTTGGTGACTGGCCTGTTCTGAGTATGGCAAAACTTGGAACAAGGGCTTCCTTCTTTCACCACCATCCTGATGGAACCGCGGGCCACATGCCCTCCCTCTCGGAACCCCACTGAGCTAGACAGAGGAGGGGCCTCCAGGAACCCAAAAGTGCAGAGCACAGAAAAGATCAGGTCACAGGCTTGGGAAGCAGAACTCCACGAGGAAGACAAAACACCTCCTTCTACGACAGCCAGTGACCCAGGATGTCAGACAAGACAACCAAAGCTTGGTGCCCATGGCAGCCCTGTATCTGTTACCTCCTGCTACCTTTTCCTAGGATGTAGTATGGAACAATAGCTGTGTCACCAAGTACCAGAGGGGCTTGGCTAAAGCCCTTGTGGTAGAGATGGTCACATACAGCAGTGGCTTTATAAAGTGTCAGGTACATCCCAGCACCTCAGGAGGGTGAGGTAGGAGACCTCAAGTTCAAGCCAAATCTGGTGTCCCAACACTGTGTAAGCTTAGAGTGCTAATGTGTTGGCACCCAGGCTGTGTCCACCAGCTAGAAAGGACAGGGGTCAGGGTGCAGATCCAATGGGTCAGAGGCAATCCCTGGGACAAAGAAGTCCTTCGTCAGAACACAAGAACCAGGGGCATATGAAAAATGGGCTACATTAAGCAGGACCCCTAGCCACGAGCCAGCCTGTAGGGGCCTTGCTGTGATTTCTATGCCAAGGGAGGGTAGGGCTACACTGCTTGGCCCCTTGTGTGGAGGCAGTGCCTCCAGCCTTGGCTCCTAAGATAAGGATGCTCACAGCCAGCCCCGCACTCAGGCGGCAGGCACCAAGCTGGTGTAAATAAACTCACCAAGCCAGGTGGGCAGGAGCTGCCAGCACAGCAGACGGGGGACGCCGATCCCCTCCACGAGGACACACACGTGCCAGGCACCATGCCAGACACTTTACATACATTATTTTGTGTAATTCTCTTGGAAGCCAGGAGGTAGGTCCTGCTTGTACTATGTTAGCAACCCGAAGACAGGTTTGGGGGAGGCCGGGAGCTGCCCTGGGGGGTGCATTTAGAGAAGGTGGTAAGCCAGCTTCCCCAGCCAGAGTGCCAAGGAGCCTCTGAGAGGCCAGCTGATGGGACTCAGGGGAAGGCAGACTCAAGCCAAGTTGAGCCACAGCCAGCCAGCATAAGGCTAAATAAGGCACCAGCAAGGGGGCCTCTTGGGGCCTTGACCCCAGGTGCTTGCTGCAGGGTCGGACCAGCAGCTGCTTAGTGCTAAGCACTCTGTTCTTTCCTCAGTGGGGCTTTGTGACCACATCTGCAGGCCATGGTTTCTTTCCAGATCCCATGCGCAGAGCGCTTTGGTGAGACACTTCTGGGGCAGAGGAATGACACATTTTGGTAATCTAGTTGCCAAACAGGAGACCTCTAACCACAGGATCCCTTCTTCCCATGAGGCCAGGCTGCCCTGCTCTGGAGCACAATCAGTTTTCTGGAGTCCACAGGGCATTTTTTGGTACAAAAGAACTTAAATTCATACTCTCCACCAAACCATGCCCTTCACAGACTTCAAGTGACTAGATTCCCTGAGGACTGCCCCTCAGGCTCCTTTCCACTGGGTGAGAACACAAGACCCTCAGGGGGCCCTAAGACTGTGCTAGTCACCAATAGTGACGATATCCACGATGAACCCCAGAAGCAAAGTACAGGGGAAGCTCCACTTTAAGGACTGCTGTAAACCACAAACATGATGCATGATAGCACCAAGTCCCAAGGGCTCAGGGGATACAGTAGTGGGAGGACAGGTGGCAGGAAAGGGGGCGTGGCCTCCAACTCCATGCCCTTCTCCCTAGAGACGCAAGCAGGAAGGCCCAAGGGCCCCAGGCCAAGCATCAATGGCCACTACAGGCTTGCCCACAATGGGCACAGTGCCAGGAACATCTAACAAGCCCCGAGGGATGAGGCAGGAAGCTGCCTCGAGCCACGCTTTGAGGGTGCGCCTGCTCAACTACCAGAGATGCCCCATGGGGTCTCGAAGGTAGCCCCAGGATTGCAAGTAGATGGAGGAGAGGAGTCACAAGGGCCAGGAGGAAGCCCAGGTGGGGGAGCATTTGGGGTGTGCAGCCCAAGCAAGTGAGGACATGTGTTCACCAGCCCAGGTGGCTGGGGTACAGCTCAACTACTCCAAGGCTTTGGCAGAACTAGAAAACAGGTCCCCTTTAGCAGGCCCTGCCCCAAGAACACAGTGGGAGGGGTCTTTTCCTCCAGGACCCCCAGCCTGGAGAAGAGTGTGGCCTGCATTTCAGGCCCTCCCAATCCTTCACTGGACACTGGCATAGGGCACAAGATGCATGCCTGTCTGCTGCAACCTACAAACACACAGGGATGAGCCACGTAGGAGGTGCTCACATGCGACAGTCGCACCTACTCCAGCCTGGACCTAGCTCAAGTGATCCCACTCCTGGGGCTGCGTACCTAATGCCTAGCAGGTCCACTCCTGTCCCCAAGTTGCTCCCGGACTCTGCTTTTTCTTCACCCTGAGAGCAGACTCTTTTAGTTCCTGTGATGGACAGTCCTGGCAAGCTGGCTCAGCTTTCCCAGGGCACTAAAAGTTCATCGAGATATCTGTTGAGGTTACCTCCTCGCCTTCTCCCAAGGCTAAGAGGGTGTAAGTGAATCGTGACCAGGACAGAAGTAGCAAGGTTGAAGGCCTGGGTCCAGACACACCTGTTCTTCCTTGCTCACTTCCTGAGCTGGAGCACTAGGGGTTGTGGTCAGACTAGCACCCGAGCACTGCCCCACCAAAGCAGAACCACCTAGCAAGAAACAGAACTAACATTTTCGGAGTGGTTTCTCTACCAAGTCCTTCTAAGGACTTTTCAAACACGTCATGAATTAACTCTCCCAATCCTGAGCTAGTTGCAGTAATTATCCCTATTTTACAGATGAGGAAATCAAGGCCCAGAGAACTTAAGTAGCTTGTTCAAGGTCACATGGGTACTAAGTGGCTGGAACCCAGGTCATCAACAATGTTTCAGATAGAGGTTCAGATACGGTTACTCTGGGCCACAGGGCCCTGCCTTAATTTAAGTGCTGATTCTAACCTTTCCTGTTGTAAATAGGATGCTTTTAGGGGTGGGGATGCTGTAAGAAGAGAGTCTGGTACCGTTTGTCTGTAACCTCTAATTTATATGTGCTTTAACCTAATTCATTCTATGTGACAATCAACAAGTTTAAGGGCTTGGAAAAAAAACATCTGGCGGGCATTAATCAGCCGGATGCCCAGGTAACACCTAGTTTCACTGAATTCAAAAGCTACTCTTGCAAGGTACCGGGCCAGAGCCCATTCTGTGGATGGAAAACCCCTGCAGGGAGCAAAAGGTATTCCCTTGACCTGAAGTAGACATAGGCTTGAGAACCAAGTCCCTCTGATTTCTAACCCCAAGGCCCCAAGAGGGGCTGGAGAAGCTACCGGATACAAGGGAGCAGACAGAGAAGGCCTGGGGGGGGGAGGGGGAGGGCAGAGGCCAGTACCAGTAAAGGAGTCCACCCTCCAGGTCAGCACTCCCAGGTCATTGTAAAGAAATCACTCCCAAGGCCTGGGGACGCAAGGACCCACGGCTGTCCTGTGGCTCCCTGGGAAGGGGGTGTCAGAGCCCCAAGTGGTGGAGAGCAGGGATCTGGCGCCAGGCTGCCCGCCTTAGCTCCCGGCCCTGCCGCGACTTGCTGGGAAAACCAGGACCTCAGTGTTTATAGTGGTTCCAGCGCCGCCCCAGCACCCTCCACCCCGTGCCGAGTTCTGGTCAGCGTCAAAGACCCAGCAGGTAGCACCCGCGGGCCGCGGGGGTGGCACCGAGGAGCCCCTCCCTCCTGGCCCAGAACGAAAACGGAAGAGAGGGGCCGCAGCCCGCAGCCCCCTGGCCTCGCAGGGACAGAGGAGGGGGTCGGCGGCCGGCCCTCCCGGTCCTCCTTTGTCGCGGCACTTACCCAGCGGCAGGCTGATTCGGGGGCCGCGCGCCCGCGCCGAGGCCGGCGACAGGAGTAGCAGGGCGAGCAGCGGCAGCAACGGCGGGGCACGGGGCGAGCTCGGCCGGGACATCGCGGGGCGTCGGGCTCGGTTCTGGGCGGCGAGCGACGACGTCCTGCTGCTCGGGCTCAGGTGGCTCCACTGGCGTCTCCGGGGGCGGCCCCGCCTCGCAGCCAGAGCCCAGGCCTCCGCCTCCGGACCTGGGGGAGGGGCGCGGTCACGTGTGCAGCCGCGGGCGCAGGGTCCCCGGGTCCCCCGAGTGCAGTGCTCCAGCCAAGTGAGCGTCCACTGCCAGAAGCACGCGGGGCCAAGTGAGAGGGGGAAGAAGGAGTCACAACCTCCCCTGCCGTCCCCTCCCTGCTCCCGGTGCCCGGCCCGCCCCTTCTCCCTTCCTTCTTCCTGGGCGCTGGAAGCCCGCGGGGGCGCCTGCTGGGTGCAGTCTGCTCGAGTGAGCCCGGAGAGGACGAGAGGACGTAACCCCCGGCCCTCACCTCCCGGGCCTCCCACCACCCGGTTCGGTCCCCCTGAGGCCCTCCAGGGACCCAGCGCCAGTCCAGGTGTGGATCTGCGGCCCGAGGGAAAATCAGGCCTCGTTTCCTTTTCTGCCCCCACCCGTGCGCGCCCCTGGCACCCACCTGTCTGAGACAGGCTGCACTCTGCAGAGCTGGGGCAGAAGCAGGCGCTCGCGGCTCGCGAGTCCTGTCTCCTCAAGGGTCGATACACCGCAGGTCTTGGCTCCGTGTGCGCTGCGCGCTGGCACTTAGACCAGGTCCCCTGCGGGGTTGTCCGTGTTTAGAATTCTGACCACGCGAAGCAGAGCACGCGAAGGCCGGGGGCTGGGCAAAATTAGCTTAAGTGGGATAATAGGATTTAATGTACTGTGCTGCCAAGAGGCTGAGTCCTTCTCCACAGCCTGCACGTGGCCTGGTGGGGGACAGGACCCTCGAAGGCCGCAGTGCAATCCCAGAGACGACCAGCCACCATCCTCCTAGCTCCTAAGTTCCCGGCTCCGGAGCTCAACTCTGCAGGCCCCTGGGCTTCCCAACTGTCGACCTGACCCATTAGGGGATTCTGAAGTCAAAGAGTTGGAAATTCATTAGCATTACAAAACACAAGACCCAGCCGGATGGTGAAGTGCACTGATCACAAGATAAGTGGCCTTTGGGAAACCTGTTTCAGCTTTTTCTGACTGCGCCAGGATTTTACAGTAAGATGTAATTTCTCCTGTAGTTACAGCCAAATGGAATTTGACAACCTGCAGCAGTCATTTCCGTGGCGGTGGAGACCACTTCTCCAGGAATTAGCTGTAACTGTAGGCCAGCTTCTCTTCAGCCCAGGCCAAAATCGCTGTACTCACAACCACTCCTTTCCTGTCCTCCCAACTCCTGAGGGCTGCCACAACCTGTCCCACCGCAAGTGACCATCAGAGTGGACAGAGCACTAAGACGGGGGTCTGCGTGTTTCCTGCAGCCATGGCACGCCTGGTCTATGAACCCCACCTCCCCATGTCCTTCTGTGGCCCTTTAGCCTGCTGCGGCACCCAGCACCTGTGGGTCTCCCATTGCCTAGGTCTTGGATGCTTTGCTTCTATGACTGGAGCTAATGCATCTAGAACCAAAGATGTCCCCAGTCTTTCCAGTCTGGACCTCTGCTTTGTCCTGAATTTCCAGGGCCTCAACCCTTTTATTGGCTGACAGCTCACCCAACATATCCCAAATGACTTTCCTAATTGCCCCCTTTTTTCCCCCAAAACAGGATCCATCTGCAGCCTCCCTCATCTCATCTAATGGCAACTCCATCTTTCAGTTGCTCAGGCTTAAAAGCTCTACTCCGGTATTTTCTCATTCCTCACATCCAATCCACTAGCAAATCCACATTCTGACTACTTACTACCACCCTGGGCCCTACCTCTCTTTTCTGGCTACTCCAAGAGTCTTACTAACTGGTCTTGCTTTCTCCTCTGGTCTACACAGTCTGTTCTTAACACTACAGCCACAGTGAGCCTTTAAAAGTGAAAGTGAATGGGCTGGGGAGGTGGCTCAGTGCAGTAAGTGCTTCCCTGGCAAGCGCAAGGGCCTGAGTTCAATCCCCGGTTCAGCCAAAAAAAAAAAAAAAGAAGTGAAAGTGAAGCAGGCATGGTGGCCCACATCTGTAATGCCAGCACTAATGACGCTGTGGAAGAATGATGGCTGTGAATTGGAGGCTATGCTGGGCTAAAAGTTAGGTTCAAGGCCAGCCTGAACTGCATAGTGAAATCCTGTCTAAGAAAGGCAAACAAAGGTAAAAGTGAAAGTCAGGTCATGGATGTCTTTTGCTCAAAACCCTTGAATGAGCTTGGCTCAGTGACACACACCTGTAAATCTTAGCATTCAGGGAAGCTGAGGCAGGAGAATCCCAGTGAGGGCACTCTAGTTAATGAGTGGGATGCTGTCTTTTTTCCTTTTTTTTTTTTTGTCTTTTGAGACAGTCTCCTTATGCAGTTCAGGCTGGCCTTGAGCTCACTTTGTAGCCCAGGCTGGCCTTGAACTCCTAATTATCCTCCTACCTTAGTCTCCCCAGTACTGGGATTACAGGCTTGGGCCACCAACCTGGCAAGGTGCTATCTTAAAATAAAAAAGGGGGGTGGAGATGTAGCTGAGTATGAATCCCTCCAATGCTCCCCTTCTTGGGGAGGGCAAAGGATGACAGGGAAGGCAGGGATGTGTGCTTGTTGGATTTGTTAACATATCCCAAACATCTAGAACGGTGCCTGACACGTAGTAGGCTGACCCTCAACAAAGACTGGGTGAATAAGTGAATCAATGAATGTTATCTAACAGACACAGAATACTGTTGACTCATGTTAACCAATGACAAAAACTACTTTGATACCACCTTCTAGTAAGTAAAGGGTTCCCCCAAACCTAGTCATGTAATTAACTTTTCAACCTCATCCAGGACCTTCTAATTCTCTCCCTGAATTCTGGTTCTGACCCAGATTAGATCCATCAAGGTCATATTGGTTCTATTATACATCTGGTTTCCCCTCCCAGTTTTGAGTCATCTGTAAATTTAATTAAGGATCCCTTCTGTCTTTACACAAGTCACTGACAAAATTATGAGCAAGGAGACGCGGCATCCAGATCTTTGTTTCCACACGCCACCCTCCAGTGAAAGGAACCAGGACTCCTTAGGAAATGAAAGGGAAAGGGGAAGGGCACAGTACAGAAAGCATTTTGTTGTATCAGAAAGACCAAAAAATAAAAAATAAATGGGGTCAAGTCAAAAGGACAGAACCAGCTTGATGGCCACTTTGAACATAGACTGGCAAAATGAAATAATGGATTCTAATGCATCAAATTAAAATGCAATCCATTAGTCCACTGTGAAACTCTGAGAGAGAATTAGCAGGGAAAGAAAGGAAGCTTTTCTCTACAGAAAAATGCTGCCTGATAAATGCAGAAGAGATGATAGGACTAGAAAAATCTAGATTTAAGCAAGGATCACTGGGGGATGTGGAAACTTGGGGTTGGCAGTTACATGTTACATTATGTATTAAACAAGGCCTCAAAGTGCATCCCACTGATGACTTGGTAATCTCCAAAGGGAAAATGTGTCCCTAAGGGAGAGGTCTGGCACCTACCAATTTATGGTTACAAGTCCTGTTGCCAGCAGTAGGACTATATGACACAGTTCACCCCTGGTAGGAGGCAAGAGGTACAGAATGTCAGTCCTTCACTCAATCCTTGCCAAAAGTGCCTAACCCAGATCTAATAATGAGGACACAGCAGATCATCATGGGCCAGTGAGACAGCTCAGTGGATTTAGCCAAGCACAGGGACTGGGGTTCGATTGTCAGCATGCTGTGTTGCCCACCCCCAGGCACTCTGAGCTAGCCATGGAGACAGGGCATGATGGTGCAGGCCTGTAATCCCAGCACTGGGGAGGTTGAAAACAGGAGGATCGCTAGGTGTCTAAGGTATAGTAAGACCCTGTACCAAATACATTAAAGAAAAAAGTGAAATGTCATGAGATCTGCAACTTACATTCTTTTTAAAAAAAATTTGTGTGTGTGTGTGTGTGTGTGTGTGGCCAGCTCAGCCCACCAGGGGGCGGGGCTGGCTGGCATGTGGTGCTGGGGGATTGAACCATGGTCCCTGTGCTTTGCTAAGCTTGTTCCAAGTAGGTGCTTTAGACCACTGAGCCATCTCACCAGCCCCCAACTTACTTTCAATTTATTTGGCAAAAACAAATTGTGTGTATATTGTATAGAAAGCACAAAAACATGACTGTGACATAACTGTCTTTTGTGTGTGATATCTGGGATCAAACCAGGGAACTTTTGCTTGCCAGGCAGATGCTTATGCTGCTGAACTACATCCCTGGCCCTATATGGCATAACTTTAACAACTGCTCAATACTGGCAAAGTCTTTGTGCTAATCTTTTGGGAGTGGGGGGGTAACAGCGGATCTGACTGTAATCTAGGGCTTAGACTCACTAATAGCCCAAGGTTGGCCCCAAACTCACAGTGATCCTCCTGCCTCAGCCTCCTGAGTGCTGGGATTGCAGATGAGTGCCACCAGGCCCAGCTTGTGCTAATCTAGTTCTTTTTTTTTTTTGGCGGTACTGGGGATTGAACTCAGGATCTTGTGCTTGCCAGGCAAGCGCCTATTCTACTGAGCTATCTCCCAGGTCCTGTACTCTAGTTCTTTACTTAGGAAATAAGAGGTGAATGGGATGCCCCAGGACCTCCATCAGGTCTGATCACTGCCCCTATGGTTGGAGCAGTGAGCTCTGTGTTCTTCTTATTACACAGTTTAGCACATGTCTCCATATTTTCTGTAAGAATATTAGAAAGGATTTTTTTTTTTTTTTTTTTTTTTTTTTTGGCCTGGCTCAGGCTGCTCTAAGGGCTGGTCTGGGGATTAAACTGAGGCATCCTGCGCTTGACTGCGTTTGCATAAGCAGGTGCTTAAACAACTGAGCTAACTGGCAGGCCCCCCTATAGGAATATTAGGGAGAAAAATGGTAAGAAATCTCAAAATCACAGTGCCAGCACCAGCACTGGCTCTTCTGCCTTCTGCTCACTGCCTGCCCCACCAGTGTCTGTTGAGAGCCCGGTCCCAGCACCAGGCAGCTCCTAGGACACAGTGTGGTAGAACTGCCTGAGCACACTGGCAACACAGGGCCTGTGTGCTGGCCGTCCTCCCCACGGAGCCCAGGAGGCAGGGGCCGACACAGCCTTGCTTGGTGGCTAATTATATTCTCCTCAGGGCTGCCCATGCTTTAGAAGTGTGCTTTATGCCAGCTGCAGTGACAGGTCCCCCGTGTCCGGAACCCCTGCTGCCTAGCACGGCGCCCCAGGAGGAGCACCACAGGACTGATGACAAGAGTCCACCTGCTGGCTTGGGGTGAGGGGTCCTCCAGTCTGCATCTCTGCATGGCAGTCTGGCTCATGTGTTCTCCCCAGACCGGAAACCTAGGAGGGCCGCTTACAGAGAAAAGTCTCATTTCAGTGGACTTCCTGTGCACAGAGTAGTTCGCAAGCCAAGGACCTGTCTGTTGCTTCCTCTGCCACTTTGGATGGAGGCAAGTCTTTCTCAGCCAGGTCGGGGTTTATAAAGAGCTCAAGAGGCAGCTTGGAAAAGGAGCACAGCAAAGAAAAGAGAAGAAAAAAGCAACATTCCCTCTGTACCCACAACCTGGCCCTTCTGCTTGCTTCTCAGATTCTCTCCCATGCACACCCAAGAAGTTCAAAGACAGAACAAAAAGTAAAATGGGCACCCCAGCTGGGCATGGTGGCACACGCCTATAATCCCAGCAACTGGGAAGCAGGAGGATCAATGTGAGTTCAAGGCTAGTTTAGACTACATAGTGAGGGCCAGCCTGATAGCTCAGCAGATTAGAGTGCCTGCTTAGGCAGATGCAGGGGCCAGGGGTTCTATCCCTGGCCTGTCGTGCTGGCCCTGCCCCTGGAGCACTCAGACAGTGACTGAGACTGGGCATGGCAGTGCGCACCTGTAATCCCAGTGCTTGGGAGGCTGAAAACAAGAGGATCACTATGAGTCCAATCTATGTAGTGAGACCCTGTAGACTCTAAAGGCCCTGTACTAAATACATTAAAAAAAAAAAAAAAAAAAAGACTACATAGTGAAACCCTGTCTCAAAAAAGCAAAACAGGGCCAGGGAGACAGCTCAGTGGAATAAGTGCTTGCCTGGCAAGCACAAGGTCCTGAGTTAAATCCTTGGTAACACACACACACACACACACACACACACACACACACACACAAAAGGTAAAGTTTCAAAAACACAAAACAACAAAAATAAGCCAACAACAAAAAATAAACATGAGGGGCTGGGGAGATAGCTCAGTAGAATAAGTGTTTGCCTGGCAAGCACAAGGGTGTGTGTTCAATCCCTGGTTCTGCAAAAAAACAACAAAAACAAAACAAAACAAAAAAAACACATGTGTTGTATGCCTATAACCCAAACACTTGAGAGGCTGAGGTAGGATTGCTGAAAATTCAAGCCCAGTCTAAGCTACATAGTGAATTCAAAGCCAGCCTGAACTATATAGCAAGATCCTGTCTCAAAAATGAATGAATGAATGAACGAAGGAGTAACACATTGCAATCCATTGTACATAGACCCAGACAGAGCTTTTCTATGGTGAGTGATGTCAAGCTCACATGCCTGTAGGGATCGGGAAGATCAGGGGTGAGGAGATAGTCTGTTTCTTGATATGGGGCTGGTTTTTCAGGTGTAGACAAATGTTAAAATGGGTCAGGCTGTGATATCTGCGTGTTTCACTGTACATAAACTTATACTTTATATGCAATGCCACACAAGCAAGGAAGAAAAAGAAATGATGGAAGAGGGAGAGAATGACGAGATATAAGAAAGGCTACCAGAGAATAGGCACAAAGCGAGCACAAATGCAAACAGTGTACAAAAGAGCTCAGCTGCCTGCTGCCTCCCTGCCCAGCTCAGCACAAGGGAAGGCGCATGGTGGAACCTTCCATCCAGGGCACTGACGGCCTTGCCACCCACCAATAACCCAGAGTGCCACCTTTAACCTTAGTACTCAGGGAGGCTGAAGCAGGAAGAACACATGTTCCAGATAGGCCTGGTCAACTTAATAAGACTGTGTCTCAGTATTTTTAAAAACTGGGTGTGAGGGCGCCAGGGAGATGGCTCAGTGGAATAAGCGCTTCCCTGGCAAGCACAAAGGCCTGAGTTCAATCCCCAGTTCTGAAAAAAACAAAACAAAACAAAACAAAACTGGGTGTGGGGCCAAAGAGATAGCTCAGTGAACTAAGCACCTGCTCAGGCAAGCACAGGGACTGGGGTTCGATCCCTGGCACCACAGGCTGTGCAATCCTGTTCCTAGGTATACTGAACCAGCCAGGGAGACCAGGCAAGGTAGTGCACACCTATAACCCTAGCATCAGGGAGGTTGAAAACAAGAGGATCGTTACAAGTCCAAACTGTGTAGTGAGACCCTGTACCAAATATATTAAAAATAATAATAATAATAAAGTGGGTGCGGATGTAGCTCAGTGTGAAGATACTAGAGTCAATCCCCAGTATACCCTTTCACACACATGCGTGTACATACACACGCACATACACATGCTTGCAAAGCATCCCTAGGTCCAGCCTTTGCTATCCCTAGGCTCAGACAGGAAGTTCTTGACGTGGATGGCCCCGTGGCAGTCCCCAGCCAGGCCTGCCTGCTCCCTTCCCACCAGGCAGCCAGCTCTCACTCTCAGCTCCCAGTTCCGCTCTGGGAGTTGTTGCTTTGTTTGCTGCCCACAGGGAGGGGCCTCCTGCCAAGCCCAGTGGAGCTTGAACCCAGAGGTCCATCCACCCCTCCTGGAGTAGACTTGGCCTCCTCCCATTCCCGGGTGCTGGCTGGCAGGTTGCCCGGGCAGGCCTTGCAGACATGAGCTGGCTGCAGCCCAACTCTGTTGGCCGGGGCCCCTGCCACCATCCCCTCGCAGCCCCAAGCTCTCCTCCCATGCCAACCTGCAGCTGCAGCTCCCCACCCTGGCCTGGCTGGGCACACTGCTGCCATCTCTGCCCCAGGGGGCCAGGCAGCACCACAGCTGTGGCACCGAGACATTCTGCTGGGGAAGCAATAGCAGCTGGCACACCCTGCATGGTTTAAAATTAGCCAATGGCTGCCAGGTCCTGGGGCTGTAGCAGAGGGCACCCGCCAGGGCCAGTACCAACAGGGCTTTTGGTTCTCCTGGGCAGCTTCCAGCAGGGTCTGGCTATAAGCATAAACACATGGCCTCACCAGGTTGGTCCCAAGCCCCGAGCTATCCCCTGCTCTTTCTTTTTGCTCCTATGAGGGGTAGGAGCACTATCTCAACCAGGCCATACAGTCACTCGGACTCATTCCCCATCTGCCATGGGAATCCTAACAGTACTCCAGGAGTACTAACAAGTACTGATGTTCACTACCTACCTGTGAGCTGGTTGCGGCCTATGAGGACACAGGACCCATGCAGTGAGCGCTGTGCTGGCTCCTCCTGAATGTGCCGTGTCCCAGCTGTGCCTGTCTGTTCATGTTCAAGCTCACCCCTCCACCCCATCTAAAAGCTGCCCTGTGGCCACCAGTGCTCTCCCTATCCCAAAGGCTGCCCCAGGACCCTGTTCCTGGCTCTGCCCAGCAAACGGGGTGCTGAGGCCGCAGCTCCCACAGAGGGGAGAACCAGCCTGCCCTGCCCAGGTGTGCCCGCCACCCAGCACCAGCACCACCCCCACGGGCCTGTTGGGACCTGAGTGCCACTCCCTGGGTGGGGATCCCCGCCCCACAGGGCTGTGATGCAACCAGCAGGGCTAAGCCTGTCCCTGCTCAGGCAGGGCAGGACATGAAGTTGCCACTGTCACTCTCTTGCACTCTCAATGCAAATGCAGGGGGTGCTGATGGGCTGGCACTTGGTACCCGTTACCCTGAAGGGGTGCTCAGGGACTCCTCTCTGCTGTTAAAGCCCTGCAGCCATAGTGGGAGGTGGGGATGC